AAAGGTGTAAAAAGAAAATATTGTATAGATTGTTAACTAAATAATTTTAAATCTAATTAATTAATCTGGGAGTTTTACCAAGGGCGATTTTACAAATATACACTGAAAGTCTAATCCAAGATTTTTCATGTCACTGCATTTTTTTTTTCATGAAATAGTTCTTATTTTATTTTTTAGACTATATATAATTTTTTTTCGTTAGCCATTATAACTATTAGTGCTGCCCATTATTTGGCAGTCTCGTTTAATATTTCAGCACATATAACATATTAAAATGAAAGTAGTAATAATGCATGCGATACTAATAATTTTCTGCAGGATTAAACAAATATTCTTCATTCTTATTTAACTAATTTTTTATTGCATAATTAACGCAGTAAAATTTGTGATTTGGATGTTATGAAGAAGGGTCAGTACACAAGGGTTGGTAAAGTCTTGAGTTGCTTATAATGTTGTTTGGCTTTCGGTTCCGTAATTTCCGAGAGAGAAACGCGAGTAAACAAGTGTAACCATGTTTGTAGATACCTGAAATTCAAGCCTTGTGTCAACAACTTCGTCCGGCTATCAGAACTCGCCGTTTCATCCACGGGGAATACTCATCGCAAACTACACCACTAATACTGCCGGCGGTTCTTACAGTGTGTGCAATTCGGTTATCCATTGTAAACCCCCCTTTTTGTGTCCAGTCCACTTTGCCCCGGCATAAGGTGAGCTTAAACGCTGACGTTGGAACATCTAATGATGTTTGTACAATATACGTATTATTATTACTATGCTCACTAACAATTATGTAGAAAATGTTTATTGGCCTGCCGAGGAAGTGGTATTTCCTCGTTTAAATATTTACTTAAAACTCTAAATGCATTTTATGGTCAAATGCTGATGTGTAAAAACACTGATTTTTATGAAATTTTAATGATCATAATCAGAGCTCGGGACTATAAATTTATAAAAATTGTTTAAACCGCTTTTGAGACACCGCTTTCGTGAAATATTATTGTAAATGTAAACATAACCACAGCAATATTTTTTGTTCTATGCTCTTGTGCCCCACAAGCTTAATTAATTCCCACTTTATTTAATGGTGCTGAATATTAAGAAGAACTAATATGAATTTTATTATTCATTGATGTACTTGAAATTACTAAAAAACAGGCAGTAGTAAAATATGACGATTAGTGGTTAAAAGTGAGTAAATTGCGTCAAGCTAGTTTTGGTTTAAAAAGGTGTTGTAGTAAACTGCACTTATTTAAACTTTTGGTTGAAATATTTTTAAGTAGGTTTGTTTACTCATAATTTTGACACTCGCATGTACAGCACTTCGTCCGCAAAGAAAAAATCTTTTAAGTTTTTAGCTTACAATGGACACTATCCCAGCATAGAAACTTTCAGAGTAAACTGATTTAACATAGTCAAACTTTACCTGTTAAACAATAATGGTTACTATTATAAAATAATATTAGCTTTGTATAGTTCCAATAACACAATTTGTTTTATTCATTACATTTTTACGTAAGACATTATTATTTTTCTTTTGTTTATAGTATTAATTATAATTATTTTTTAATTTCAAGTTTACAATAAGTCCAAATATTTTATAAAATTATCACAACGATAATTTTATTTATTTATTTAAATAGTCAATCAATAATTTTACATACATTTATATTTACTCTACATTTAACGTATTAACAGTATTGTCACAATATCCCAATTCGCTATGTTTAGCGATTTTTTTTGTCGCATTTAGGTTCAGGACTTCATGTATTTATAAATTTGCGTGGACAACTTCTGAGACTTCGAACTCCATAAAAATTTACCATTGGTATATACAGGAACATTTTTCGTTCTAAGGGGGGGGGGAGTTATCCTAAAACTTAAATCCTGGTAAATACACTTTGATGAGGATTAAACAAAATTATGAACTAGTATCTATTTATCATTAATGTACTCAGTTTGACTAAGTATACATATATTATAAAAACATATAATTCCGAAATTACCCTATTTACTCTATTTTACCGAAGTTACCCTATTTAGGTTTATTATATCGCCTTACAAAATGTAATGATGAAATATATATTTGAGTTCGTAATATTCGATGTAATTATATGAAATTTATTTTAGATAGATAGTTGCTCATATTAGTCTAATCTAAATTTAATTCATATTATTTTAATATTAAACACTTTTATTACTTTTTAAAATTATATATGAAGAATTAATAATATTTATTTATTTATTCATCAAATGGAATGAGAAACTTTTGGTGAAATTCACCAATTTATCATTTCACTTATTTTTTATAATTATAAATTTCTAAAAATCCATCGAAATTACCAATTGCAATATTGTGACAATTCGGTAGTGTATTAAAAGTAAGGTAAATGTAAATAAAAAAATAGTTTTAAATAAAAGCTTGGATAAATGTGATATTATTCCATTTCTTAGGTTTTTGATTTTAATTTTATAAAGTGTTTTTTGGAATTATATGACACGCTTCATTAAGAGTATGTAGGTATTTCTCATTGTTCAAATTACTTAAGCTACATTTATTGTGTAATAAATACTGTTTACTACTAGTTTAATCTGAGCTGTATAAAACTATAATTACTCGTACCACCAACTATTAGTGGAATTTCAAGTTGAACTGGTTTAAACTTTTATTGATAGAAAATATATTATTGAGGGGTCAATGCATACAACGCGTGTTTTGGTCAGTGTCCAGGTACTATTGGGGTTCATCCCTTCTAAAGGTAAAGCAAGGGTCAGTGAAAACACGAGCGACCCCATATTGTACTATAACGGCCCAAAACGAGGGTTGGTCATGTACTTCCGGGGTCAAATGCAGCTGTCCAACGGTTACTAATTCACAAAATGGCGTTTTTAGGTCTTGTTTTCTAGCACCAGCATATTTCTATTAGTAGTTACACCGTGTAACTTACATGGTTTAAATATTAAGTGTAGAATATATTATTATTTTATTAATCAATTATGCTCTAAATTAATGATAATGTTGAATTAAAATTTGGTGAAAATTAGATTTTATTTTGATTGCTTAAATATTTTAATATAAATTTTCATCTTCAATGTAAAGTAAAAAAACCAGGATTGATTGTCAAGAGAGACAAAAATATTAGAACATCACAATCAAAAGTAAATTTAAGGTTTTTTTTATATGTAATAAGAAAGGATAACACAAGTATACATTTTTATGATAGTAATTTTTATAAAAAATAAATGAATTTTTATTAACAATATAATTAGCGTACGAATAAAAAATAAACAATATATTTCAAACTTCAGTTCTATAAAAGTATCAAGGTTGTAAAAAACCAAATTTGTCGTCAATATCATTAAACAATATTTTGTTTTTATATGATTTCACTAATGTATGAAGAAATATTTTTCGATGGAATTTATTTATTACTAATATGTGAATTTTGTTGTGAATACGTTTTAGAAAACTCTCAAGTGTGTTATTGGACTAACAGAGAACTTTCACAAGAAGCGGCAAACTACTCCCTCTTTAGATTGCGGATTAATGACGAATTAGCATATAAAGTGACGGTTATGTCAGGGTAAATGTCATTGGCGCTGCCCTTAGGCAACTTTAAACGCCGCTTCATCTTCATCTCTTCATCTTAGCCATGTACAAAACATCTCCACCCCCGCTCGACCGGTATGCTTTGTCTAATGACCAAGAGATTACCAGGGGAAAGGAACGTGGTGTGTAGTGGATTTGTTCTTGTTTACCGAATCTATTATCATAATGTCTCCTTGATCACGTCACACGCCACTCTAACTTAAGACGACAGGAACAAGTAAACGCAAATCTGAATTATTAACCGACCTTTTATACATATCTATAGAACGACCGTGTGCATGATTTTCAACCCACCTGTCGCCAATGATATTCCAATATGACGACCGACATCTTTGCATAAATTATTAGTTTTGCCGTATTAACTCATATACCATTCATATTTAATTAACAAATTCAATTAAAATTTACAAGTTATATTTTGGTTGGATTTATTTTTATTAATAAAAATATTTACAAATAATTTTGATAAATTCTGGTTATAGTTTTGATCTAGAAAAAATCTAGAAATAGTTAACAACAATGTTTATAATACTTATTAGTTCTATCCTTACGCCAATCCAAATTAAATTAAATATGAATTTTTTCCGCAAAAAACTTATACTTTCTTAAGATACATTCACATTAAAACAAAAAATCAGTTAATTATATAAAAAATAATTGATTTTTATGTTACTAATAAAATGTTGGCGATATTTCTTTGTTCCAAGTTTAGTTAAAGTTTTATAACCACAAAACCTTCGTTTCTCAATATTTCAACGTAGTTTGCAGCTACGGCTGAATAGCAAATAAACCATGTTTCAAAGTTTCTTATCGAAGATTTCAAAATCGACCACATACTTTCAAAGGTCTCACGTATCTTAAGTTGATCGAACTTGTACAATATAGTACCATAGCTGATTACACTGTGATCGCGTTAAAATAGTGTGCAAACTTGATGAACAATTTACGAACAAACAAAACTTTGGTCATTGCATATCAAAATATGTCAATTCAATATGTCCGTTGAGAGAAAACCAGTTCTAAAAATAATTTTCTTTATTTAATAAGCAAAAATAATTCATTTGAATACAAAACGTCCAACTGTATAAAAACTAAAATTTTCAATACTTAATACTTAAAATCGATAACTCGATCCAGTCATTTTAGACTTTTCAAGAAAATAATTATGGATTTATTTTATCTTATTTAGTTAAACACCAAAATTTTCATATTTTAATTAAAAGACAATTATCGTGGCAACACGTTTTAAAATTAAATACCACAAAATATAAAAACAATTTTTTTTAATTATCATATATTTTGCATCAATATTTTTAAACTGTTGTTAATTTTTTTAACTATTTATTTTGAAATGAAATTTCTAATATTGAAGTTTTATAAAATTTTATCAATCGAACTCCTAATTTTTATTGATATTTATGTAGTTAGAACTTAGTTGTAAAATACATTTGTTATGTATTATAGTCAAGTTAAAGGACTTAAAAACTGAATTTGGCAGCGACAACGATATAATTTGTACTGTGTTGAAGAATCTGTTATTACCAAAAAAACAATCACAGCTTTGGACAAATAATACTCGATAACTTGTAAAGTTATCAAGCTAAAATTTTTAATTGTTTTTTTCATTTAATGCACAATGAAAGAACATTAACGCGATTCAATCTCCGAAAAATTCAAACTCATTGGTATCTGACTTCTTATTACTCTGCCAGTGTTTTCTGTTATAAAAATATCATTTTGAGTAAGCCATTTCAAATAGCATTTGACATCGCTAGCGTTTTAATTACAATGTAATCTACTAAGACATTATAGTAATATAATATCTATCGACCCAATGTACACGTACACATCATATGTATATATAATTAAAGAGATCAGGGGACTTGTATTCGGAATCGAGAGAGAGATAAGTACATCTGTATCGTCTGTTTTGCGTAGGAATATCGTTATGTGCATACTTGGTGCTGTGTAATCCGCTGGCTATACACCGTTATTTCAATGAATGTACTTTACATGTATATATTCGTTGTATGAGAGTACCTATATTAGTTAAAGAGAAACGCGCGGAGAGAAAACAGTAGCAGGTCCCTTATCAAGGGCCGAAAACGACCAACCGCGTTTGGTTTCCGTTCACGCCTACCCCACACATCGCATTCTCGAGGGAAGCATAAATCATCGGCCGGCCGTGGCTACCACTATCGCCTTACCAGCTAAAACTTTTCGCCTGGTTTTAGCCCGAAACGGCATTGTTTTTGAAGTTTTAATCACGCCGTGTTTAATAGTTGTAGTGTGCCAGCATAGTAGTAATACACAATTATTGTGCACATAATATACCTAGGAAGATTGTTCAGCCGTGCCCTGATAAAAATCATGCTCGCGTTCTACCGACTATGAGTTTCTACTTGACTTTTTGCCGTCCATAACTGTGGCAAACGAGTAGCGCGCACTTGTATTTTCTGACACCTGCTCTAATATAGTCGCCCTTTTCTAATTGACCAGCCAAAGGTCACGGATGCTGATGTCGCGTGATATCATAGTAGTCAAACAAGGTTGTAAGTGGACCGGTTAGGATGCAATAAAAAAAATCCGTAATGTAATCCATACCAGTTCTCGTCGGGGTGTTTTATATTTTATTAATATCTACTATATTTATAGATGACCGATACATTTATCATTATTGACAATTTTAGACCGATCTACCAACAACCGTGGTATTTGTAACAGTTAAAAAAAAAAAAAAAGAGGCTTTTTCAATTTTTTTATTCGATGACGTGCAATAGAATAGTCCTACAAAGGTTAACTAGTGGTTCGTTTTACAACTGAAAATCAACTATTTAGGTATTTAAAAGGCCCTCTATCTCATTTTTATTGTATTTATTTGATATATCCTAGGCACATTTTTCATAAATCTGAAACGTCAACATCTGATTTTAAACAAAACATAATCAACATTTTTAAAATGAATTAAATTATTTTAAAATTTTGAAATACATACAATAATTCCAATTAGTGATATTCAAAATCAATTAGATCGAGTGGTTTTTCACAATTTAAAATTGATGTTCTATCCTTTTCAACATCCTCCATAAGAAATCTGAAAATAAAAATATATATATAAAGCATACTATATGTTTTTTTTTCGATATTTTCATAATGTATGAATTTTATTATCATCGATAGTATTAGTTTTGAATCATAAAAATATTTATTAATAACAAAAAAACATTTACGAGCTTAAAAGAGTTTCGATAACATATAATTAAAAATAATGATGTTTAATAATCTCAATCAATGACATAGGGAACCAACTCATAAGCATTTTTTCTATAAAACTGTTTGATTACGATTAAAATTAGAGTTTTATTTTTTTGATTCTTTGGTAATTATCATTCAAAATACTCATTAAATATATAATACAAATTTAACAAATTCCTTTAGAGAAAATTAAATTTTTAATACTGTATACAAGATATTTTTAATATTATTAGATACGTTCTGAAAATTAGCATGTAATAAAAAGAAGATAGTACTTTTTAGTTTAACGTTTTTATTAGTAAAAATAGTGTATTTACTAGTTTAATTGCGGGTAATATAACGGTAAGTAATATAAATTTTACAAAAATTTCCTTAAACTGTTTAATGTTGTTTCTTGAAACATAAATTGTAATTTAACAATATTACTGAATGTTCTATATTTTTTATAGAATATAATTGACGGTGTTTATTGTATATTCGTGGAACTGTCTATTCTGACATAACACAACTTAGAAATTCGTATTCTATGTGTGACCCTCAGTGATCTTTACGACTACGCATTTAGAGGTAATGCGAGTATGTGACAGTTTTACAAAACGTTAGGTAATGATTGATCGTCAACCGATTTCAGTTCACGTCCCGTCTGCTTGAAGACTTCGTGTCCGACGTTACTTGCCGCAGTGACGAAGCGATCGGACTTGAGGGGAGTTCACGGGGAATAGACTTTAAAAGGTCACCCTCACGGCTTCACCACAACTGCCTATCCTTTGCACCGCCATGCCATTATTATTCTCTCCCACACCACCTGTCCACTTCACAGGGATTTTGGTTCGGTGTAAGGTGGTTGTTGCTTTTGACAAGACACGGACTTAGAGGCAGAAATCACGTCGCCGGAATGGCTTTTGCAGCACGTAAAAGGGTACGACCAAAGGCTAAAACTTAGTAAAGGCCAGAAATCACACGCATTGACTGGGGTGATTTTCTTAAACTCTATCTTTGTCACTTAATCCATGAATAACCATAAGCCCTTCGTAATCATTTAAATTAATTTTTATTTAAAAAAACTAGTATTCAAACCGGAAGGTTAATTGACATTTTAATTATCACTACTTTGTTTATAATGTTATTGCATTGCTAGTTAAGTATTTTTTTTTTTCAGATTTTTGTTATTATGGAAAATACATATAAAGTTTATTAATTTTTATCTAAAATCTCAGAATACAGAAAATAAAACGCACAAATGTTGTATACACGTAATAATATTTATTTGTTAATTTATTATTTGAGTAAAAATTCCACTTTTGTCATATAATTTCTTGATAATTAAATATTAAATGATCAATGATTACAATAGAACTGTACAATTTTACGTTTTAACAAGTTTGAATAGAGCTCTAAGTACCTAGTATTTTAAAAATATGTATTAAAAGTACCTTAAATACTATTTGTAAAAGCACTTCTTGATTTTTTTTATAAATGTTATGCATACAGATAATGTCTTTCATAAATTATCAGCTATTTTTGATTTTCGATTATAATAATTAAAAATCAAGAAAAATATTTTCTTGATGTTCATCATAATGTGTGGTTCTGTTTAAATGTTATACAACATTACCACAGGTGCAAACAATATCTACCCATTTGTCAACTGTCACGAGCGAAGTTATTATTATGAATTTTACCGAGACCAAGTCTCGAACATGTGATTTATTGATAGCATTCAATTCAGATAAGTGTTTTCTCCTTGGGGAACTTTGAACTTAAGATGAAACGGATACTGGAACTTTGAAGAGGTGGAGACGCAGAAATCATTGCGGTTCACATTAGACTTGCTTTTAAGACCTTCGAGGTTCTTTTGATACACAAAAACTACTTGCCGTTTATCTGTAAAATGCCACGTCCACGTCCACACTCTACATACACACACATAAGTACAGGAAGAATAGCCATGGCGTTTGTATTTGACACTTTGCAAATGTTTGTGGGCCGCCATTACTGTCCCAAATAGGCATCGGCACTATGGAAAGTTGTGCATTTTTATTTTTTAACCCCTTTCCGCGTTCACGTTCATTTCGTCTCACTCTCTATTTTACGATAAAAACAACACTAGTTGGTAGAACGAATGGCATTGAAAATTGATAGCTTTTCACCAGCACGCAGTATAGCACCCCGGGGTGTTGTGTGTATTTCAGCTGAACGAAAAAATACACTGTGCGTGCACTTTGGTACACCAAAAAGGATGAACGGCTAAAATGCTAACGTTTATCATTTATATCATCAAATAGCGAAATAAACTTCTATCAAACTGTTCACCTCAACTTGCACTCCTTCATCAAAATTTCTATACGTTCAATGATGCTTTAACACTGACCTATTTTATAAATACAAGTACTGGAACCTATTAAATTTTATAAATATCAGTTCTTAAGAGAAAGTATTTTTTTCTGATATTATTAAATCAGATTTTATACATAAAATTAAAAACATATTCATTAACCGTTATTTATTTAGATCAAAGATGAATGAAAATATGAACTATTTACATAATTAATGTATAAAAAATAATTGTTTAATACTCAGAATATTATTTTAAATCGAAAAAATAATTGAACATTAAATGAAATCAAAAATGCTTTTGGTTTTGCGCTGTCAAGATTCTAAAAAATGCATATTATAGCGTATTATGTTATGCGATAACTTACAACTTTTTACTAGGTAATAGTAATTTAATTGAACATTTTTTTTTACATGTATATATATATAAATGTTATTATTATAAGACGCAGTATATCCGCCGGGTGGTATATCACATAATAGCAGTCGGTTTGTATTTTTCTATCTCCCAGTTACACTATTCTGTGCTGAGTTCGTAAAAACCCATCCCTATTATCCGTTCGTATGTAATATATACTTTTTTTCTTTTGCTACCGTTTTCGTATATCCTTGTACATGTGCAGCCCATTGTACAAGTATACGAATGAGATGCTGCGTCATGACGTTTCGTGGGATGGAAATGTGTTTCCGAATGAAGGTGAATGCGATGGGCACGAAAAAATATACAAGCACACGACGAAGATAGATAGTTACGGGGCGAGGAGGAGGACGGTGGCCTAAGGAAAATAGCAACATTTATCCGGTATACGATACTAATATATATATTTTCCCCTTATTTCCGAGTGAAGAGGAGGGGTTCTCTATTTTTTTTTGCCTCGAGATTTGAAATATGAACTTTACGAGAAAACTGGGCATTTGCTCAGTCCGACCAGCTGTTTGTCCCCACTCATACGCTCAAAATCTGTACTCGGGACACATTTCACGGTTGGAAAAATTTCCTTTTCTCATAACAGCATTTTTGCTAAAGATCATAACATTACGACATCGCCACCGATGGCGTTTTTTACGCATCCGTGATCTCCTCGTCGAATGGCTCTCAGTTTTCACGTGGAGATGAATTCGCTTATCTGAGAAATATGACCACATCTACATAGCTATGGCACAGCAATATCTCACTGTAATAGACTGAACTGAATTTTCACTTAAAAATACTACTGAAATTTGTGAAAGTTAACGATTGGATATTTTTAGAACGATTAAACAAAACTCAACAGATATAATTTAATGAAATATACTCGCAGGATAGTTTCGATAATGTTTTCGGTAATAGAAAGATTTTCTGAAATCTTAATTATAATAATACGATGAATGTTAAATTAGTTTGTAGTGCGAACAAGTTTGAAATTTTAGGTTTAAAGTAATTAAAAAAATTCAAAGATATTTTTCTATGTTTATTTTATTATAAAAAACACAAATAGCAATATGAAAAATATATCTTATTTGTTGGCTTGATACCTAAAATAACTAAAATTATTTATCACTAAAGAATGCCACGCGGTCATATAGAAATTTAATGATGAAATTAAATGTTATATTATAATAATGTTTATTCTAAATACCTAAAAATATTTCATTTAATCAGCTGAAAATACGATTAAATTATTTTGAGTATTATTTTCGTCAGCTGATTTCTATATTCAAAATTGTACCAATCCAATAAAGCATCATCATGTACATAACAGAAATTATAAAGTGTTATTAGTTTGCTTTAATTATTTTATTAGTTTTTGTTTATGATCAGAGTGCTGTAAAAATGACAGCACTTTGTCACAGCTTTGTAACGACCGAAATTCTCAATTCCTTCTTTTTCTATTTCATGTAACTTTGCTATTCCCATTATTAATATTCATTTTTTCATAAAATGAAATATCTTGTAGTTTTTCAAAAAATGTCAACAAAAATGACGAAATTCTTTTGCTTAACAAGGGTTTATGAAAACTCTGTAATGTAATATCTTACTACGGCCGACGTTACAGTTTTTTATTTTTTCTCTTTCATCCTTGCTCCGCTTCTCTAAAACAAAAGATATTTCTTCAACACGCGTATACGTTTTAGCCTTAAGCAATTTAATAATGTAATATACGTAAACAGGTAAGCAAACGATCGATGTGACACACATGTATACGAAAATGTACTCCGCAAAAACCCGTTGGAAATCATTTTCTACGGTAAAACTCTTAGTATGTAACAATAAGGGGAGCTTAACTTATAATACTGAGGGAGTAACGGTAGTTTTCATATTACTACAGTGCTTAACACATGATTAACTAGCACGTAATTGGAAAAAAACATCAAGAAGTTCCGTATAAAAAAATTCATTGAAAATTACACGCAAAAAAAAAATAAAAGAAACAAAACTACAAGATAATTTTAAATAATTTATTTAACAGTTTTTTAATTAAAATTTTAGATATTTTAATAAATATTTAATCACGCTTTATTTTA